ATGGCCCAGACTGTACAGGGGAGTTTCAAGTGCCTGACGCGCGTGACCCAGGCTGCACAGGGGACCTCTAGTACCTGATGTGTGTGGCCTGGGCTGCACAGGTGAGTTCCAGTACCTGATGTGCGTGTCACTTGGGAAAAAAAAGATATCAAGAACCAAGCCCTTTCCACTCGGAAAACATATGAAGAAAAACATCCCCTTGGACCATGTCAGCCCTGTCATTCACTACACATCTAATGAACTATAATATCCCGCCAGCCCTAACTCCCCAGGTCCATAAGGGGACGCTGGCCTTTGCTAGCTGCCAAGTTGTTCTCATCCGTGTTCTGATCCATTCTTCTCTGTACTCATCTACAATAATTTTCTCTTTCATGTTAAAGGTTTGACACAGTTTGGATCCTAAGTGTCCACATGCCCACATGTCCTGGAGGGAACATCACTGGGAAGTGTTAAGAGTTGGGGCTTAATGGAAGGTCTTTAGGTCACTTGCTGCTGAAGAGGACTGAGAGACTTGGATCCTTTCTTCTTTCTTTGCTCTCTGACCATGAGGTGGGCGGTCTTGTTCTACTCTCTGATCCAGACATGATGCCCTCCCAGGCCCTAAAGCAAGGGAGCTAATTAATCATGGACTAAAACTGCAAAACAATAAGCCAAAGCTATCTTCTCCCACTTGTCAACTGTATTTGCTGTAGTTATGGAATGCTAACACAAGATTATATATTTATTATATCGTTCTAATAGCAGAAGATTAGAAATGGCTCACAGCATTGAAGAACACCCAGTTAACATTTCCCTTTGTAATTCAGCACAACCATGGAGAAATAGTTGATTATCTATTACACAATAGTATCTTCAGGATGTATGTAAAAAGGTGAAACAATATAATATATGCTTTTTCTCTGGTCCTGGGCAAAAGAGGAGAGGAGACTATGAGTAGAATTTATGTTTAGAAATACAAATGAATGTTGAAAAATGCTAGGGAAAGGACTTGTTAGTGGTGTTGTTGGGCATAGGGAATGAAGTTGTCAGAAAGAAGATTTGAAATGACACTTCTCAACATGGACAATTTTTTTTACGTCATTTGATTTTTGAGCCATACACCATCGTAATTATTTGAAAGACAGTAACATTCAAAACAAAATGAAAGAACCTTCCATGTGTCTGCTTAACTTCCAGTAGGCTTCATTTCTGTGTAAATTATTTAAAGCCTGCAGACTTCTCTTTCTCCAACCAGGCAGGCAGGATCTATTTTGGGGCACGCTAAGCATGGCCTGACAGATCTGGGTCAGGTCATTCAGCTGGAAGCGGCTGCGCTCACGCTCACACATGTCCAGTAGCATATGGCAAGTCCCAGTGTCATTCTGCACCCCAAAGACTGTCTCCTAACAGCTAGCATTTCTCTCTCAAACTTAATGATTGGGGTAGTATTACCTTTTCTCATGGAATTTCAGATTTTCTTAGATCTTAGATTTTATATGTTTGTTTTCATTATGTATCCACTGTACATAATAATATATTACAAAAAGTATTTTTTCATATAGGTATATAGTGTTCTTCGAGCACATTTCCCATCTCCCCAGCTCTACTTCTGTTGGACCCTTTTGTTCTCCTAGACAGTTTCACTTTATGTCACATGTATGTATGTAAATTGTTTATGTATGTCTATGATTTTGTGTGTCTACATAAAACCTAGAAACGGAAAATGAGAGAAAACATGTAATGTTTATCTTCCGGAGACTAGCTTTCTTTGCTTAATATATTAGCCCTAGTCATTCCCATTTCTCTATAAGACAAAACTTTGTTATTCCTTATGGCTTACAAAAGTTACATTCTGCCCTGGTGTTGGTGGTGCACACCTTTAATCCCAGAACTCAGAAAGCAGAGACAGGTGGATCTCTGTGAGTTCGGGAACGCCTTGGACAACAAAGTAAGTTCTAGGATGACCAGGAAGGTTACATAGAGAAACTCTGTCTCAGCACACACACTCATGCACGCACGAAAGAAGAAAAGATCCATTCTGTCCATATATATTACCTTTTATTCATTCTTACACTGCGGCACAACCTGATTAGATCTATAACTTAGCTATTGTGACCTGTGCTTCAGTGAGCACAGATGTGAAAATATTTCTGTGATAGGCTTACTTGGCGTCCTTTGATGAAGACACAGGGACGGTGGTCCATAAGGCAGAGCTGCTTTACAGATTCCCGCGATGGACGGGCCAGAGTGCATCCCCACGAGCAGCAGATATGGGTTCCCTATGGTTCACACTCTTTCCCAGCACTTGGTGCTGCTCTAGCGCCCGCCTTTCTGATGAGAAGGAAGTGGATTTTCGGCTGTAATTTCAGTCTACATTTTCTGATGGCTGTTGAGACAGAGCATGGTTTTACAGGTTAATTGGCCATTTTCACATCTTTTTTTGAGAACCCCCTGTCTATTTCATTAGCCCGTTTATTGATCGAATTGTTTTATTTCTTGTTATTTAGCTTTATGAGTTCTTAATGTATTCTAGATGTTAATCCTATGTCAGACACAGAGCTAACAGACTTCCTCTGTTTATGTAGGGCGTCTCTTCACAAGACTGCTTCCTTGGTTAAGAAGACATGTTCTGATTTCTTGCCATCCCATTTATCAATTTTTATCTAATCATTTCCTGAACATCTGGGGTCCTTCACAGAACGACTGTACACTGAACATCTGGGGTCCCACACAGAACGACTGTACACTGAACCTCTGGGGTTTCACACAGAACAACTGTATAATGTACACTGAACAACGGGGGTCCTAACAGTCCTAGAACTAACTCTTGTAGACCCGGCTGGCCTCAAACTCACAGAGATCCGCCTGCCTCTGCCTCCCAAGTGCTGGGATAAAAGATGTGCACCACCACTGCCTAGCTCTTTTACATGTTGATAACCTGTTTTCTTAGCACCACTTTTTTCAAAAGAGGTTATTTTTTTTCTAATTCATATTTTTGACATCTTTGTCAAGATTCATGCGGCAGAGCGACATGGGTTTAGATGTATGTCTTCTATTCTGGGTCAGTCAGGGTCCTCTATTGGTATGTAAATTAAGCTTGGAGATGGATTTATTCTAGTCACCATGTGCACTATGAACTGCGTTTTCCAGAAAGAAATACCACATCTCCATGTTAAAGATTCTGCATGTTTGAAAGATTGATCACAACTTGATTGTGCAGTGTTGTGATGTTGAAACTCCAGAGCGAAATTATCTTGGGCTATTTTGATTAGGCTTACCATTCATTGACCACCTCTATGCCTGACCTTATATCCTTTCAACTATTATGTAAAAGTGTTTGGAAAGTATTGATTTAACAGACCAGTAGCTCCGCCCCCCAAATCCAAAGCTAGGAATTTTATCAAAGATCTCTGAGAACAGTAACAGGGATTTCCTCACTTTGCTGTAATCTGCCTACCTGAAGTTTCCACCAACGTATTTGAAAAATGTCTTGCTTTGTGCCTTTCTGTTTGTCTGGAACTATTTCCAAATTGGAATATGTCATTCAGGGCACCCTCAATCTCATGTTCCTGGGCCACGGTCTATTCAGCACAGGAATAAACCATCTCTTCTTACTCCCTTTGAGGCGCAGGTAGTTTGCCTTGACAGTACTTTACACATGAACAAGTGGAGTGTGTTTAAAGGAGCCAGGAGGCAGAACCGAGCTGACGGGCAGACAGACAGGAAAAGGAACAGCACGTGATAATAAAGACTGCCAACTTCGGGCTTCTTCCTCACTGCTCTTACCTGTGACAAAGGCCTGGCATGCTTTTTCAGGCCAGCAGCTTGCCCTTCTACGCTTTCCAGCTTACTGGTCGAAGCTGGTCTGCAAGATGTTTGCCCAAAGCTATAGGCCTGTCAGCTCCTCTTTCTTTCCATAAATTGACCAACCCAAAATGGGAGGGGTGGGGACAGATCCTAGGCCACCAGGAATACCTGTGTGTGCTTTGTTTGTAATAAAATTTACCCGTTGCTGCTTGCTATGTTTCCATTTTTCCTGCTTTTAATTCTTTAATTATCAGAGTCAAGCATGACCAAGAACCCTAGAAGGTAACATTTCTGTCTGTCTTTCTCACTTTGTCTCTCTCTGTCTCTCTATCTCTGTCTCTTTTCTTTAATGCAAGCTTCTCTTTGGCAAACATGAGCTACGGTTTCATTATACTGTAGGGCATTTGTAAACACTTCAAGTCCCACATCCCTTAGGAAACTAGAGAAATAGCATAGACAAGCCAGAACCACAGATTGGGAATGTGGTGTTTTCTTCAAGACAGCTGACTTGGTCTTCTCAAAAAGCCAGTATTTGAAAAAGCAGAAGAAATTGCTAGTTTGACAAATGAAGAAAACATTACCAAAAAACATGCACAAAACAAACAGCAAAACAACAGACCAGTAAACAAACAAGCCACTCAGTCCACAGCAAACCAGCTAATGCTGTGAGTCCGTGGCAAAAACAAATAATGACGCTGATGAAGATGATAACAACAGTAATAATAGCTGTGGTTGTAGTATGAAAGATTACCTGACACTAAGGACTTCTGAATGTCGCCCAGAGAGCTATTACATGAGTGCGTGAGTAAGTTGTTCTGAGATTGGTAACACCATTTAGCCTTTTGTTTTAGTCGTGGCTCTTTCCTCTCGTGTTCTTTTGCTTGCAATTTAGGGAGAAACAGCAAAAATAAAGTGTTCTCAAATCTTTTTTTTTTTATATAGGTACGACAAATATGTCTAGAGGTCAAGCGTTGGATTGTCGAGTTTGGTACTGGGTAGTACTGATGGATTAGGGAGCGTGTGTAAACCCAGGTTCCATTGTTTTTGCCGCTGTTACTATGACATCACCGCGGAGCTCGAAATCCCGCCCCTCGAAAGCACTCGCAACGTCGCGAGATCACGGCTGGCGGCGCGCACTGCGGTGGGCGGGGCGGGGAGCGAGGGTAACTTCCGGCCGGGCCGCTGTCTGGGTGGCGCGGCCGGGTCCCCTCGGGTGTCGCCGCTCCTCGCTTCCACGGCCGTCCCCCCGCCCCGCGCGGGGGGTTGGGCGGCCGCGGGAGGCGACTCGGACCTTCCCGGTGCCTGCGGTTCGTTCCGCGTCGTGGCTGTGCGCGCGGCGGCGCGGGGGGGCCCCGGGGTCGGCGGGGCTGCGGCCTAGTCGGGCCTGCCGCCCGGCCCCATGAGGCACAGCCTGACCAAGCTGCTGGCTGCCTCGGGCCGAGACTCGTCGAGTGTCCGCGCCGGCCGGCAGGACCCGAGCGCGGCGGCCGCGGGGGCGGAGACCTCGGCGGGGTCGGGATCGCTTGAGCGCCGGCCGCCGCCGGTCGACGGGGGCGAGTCGGAGGCGGCCCGGAGGGTGAGCCGCGGCGGCGTGGCCGTGCGCGCGCCCGTGCCCTCGCCCCCGCCAGGGAAGATGGAGGAGGATGAGGAGGACGCGATCGCCATGGTCCCCAAAGAAGAGCCGGAGGACATGGACTTTCTCTCCGGGCTGGAACTGGCCGATCTGCTGGACCCTCGGCAACCGGACTGGCATCTGGAGCCCGGGCTCAGCTCGCCCGGGCCCCTGTCCTCGTCCGGCGGAGGCTCGGAGAGCGGCGGCCTCTTGCGGGGGGACGACGACGACGAGAGCGCGGCCGCGGAGATGCAGCGCTTTTCTGACCTGCTGCAGAGGCTGCTGAACGGCATCGGAGGCTGCAGCGGCGGCGGCGGCGCCGGTGGCGATCGCGGCAACGCGGAAAAGAGGCGGAGAAAGTCCCCGGGAGGAGGCACCGGCAGCGCCACCACCAACGACAACAACCAAGCGGCGACCAAGAGTCCCCGGAAGGCGGCGGCGGCCGCGGCCCGTCTCAATCGGCTCAAGAAGAAGGAGTACGTGATGGGGCTGGAGAGTCGAGTCCGGGGACTGGCCGCCGAGAACCAGGAGCTGCGGGCTGAGAACCGGGAGCTGGGCAGACGCGTGCAAGCACTGCAGGAGGAGAGTCGCTACCTACGGGCCGTCCTCGCCAACGAGACGGGACTGGCTCGCCTGCTGAGCCGGCTGAGCGGCGTGGGACTGCGCCTGACCACCTCGCTCTTCAGGGACTCGCCCGCCGGTGACCACGACTACGCCCTGCCGGTGGGGAAGCAGCCGCCGGAGCTGCCGGAAGAGGACGACGCGGCGGGAGGAGTGTGTCTCCATGTGGACAAGGATAAGGTGTCGGTGGAGTTCTGCTCGGCGTGCGCTCGGAAGGCGTCGTCTTCTCTTAAAATGTAGGGTCAAGTAATCTGCTCTTTACCCGCGGTTACCCCCTTCTGCTCCCTTACACCATGTCAAACACCTTAGTGGGACATCTTCACCGGACACATTTCAGAGGCGGAAAAAAAAGTAATATTAAATCTTTTAAGTGTTTAGCTAAAACGCATGAATGTGACACTGTAACCAACTCCTAATGATAACCTGTGACTATTAAATCTCTCTGACAGTTTCTTTTTTAGGTGATTTCCTTCCTGCCAGGCTCCGTTGTAGGGGTTACAGAACAGTCGTTCCCGCCTCCCAACCTGGTAAGGATCCATCTCTTCACGTAAGGCTCATGCTCTGCTGCTTAGTCTGCTTTACTGGGCAACATCTCAATTTGTGTGTGTGTGTGTGTGATATATTTTTCGTTTGTTTCTTTTTTTATTGAAAGGTGGGAGGGGAATCTTCATTTGGGCCCTGTCCACCCTGGAAACAGACTTGTGCTGGTCAACGATGTACTTAAAGTTGCTTCTGGTTGAAATAGCTGTTAAATGTGTCCCTAGCTCTTCTGTCCCCAGTGTGGACATGGCCTTGGAGGACATCGGTTCCAACTGTACACTGAAACCTGCTAATAGAGATACAGTTTGGAGACAGTGAAACAGGTGAAGTGAATGGAACTTCCGAGTTGTACCCGGTGCAAATTGGAATTCCAATTGTAGAGCAACTTCAGAGGTTGACATAAGTATTTGAGGCATGCACAAATGTATTTTTCTGGAGATGACAAATCTCTTAAAATACTTAAGAATGCCTTCTAGTTTACAGTAGAAAACACAGAAATACAATCTATATAAGATCCTAATATTTCATTACTTAAGTTGGAAATTAACCTACCCTTCAGATTTCTGGGAGAATGATTAGTGAAATGTCTGAGGACCAGCACAGTAATTATCTATCACTGAGTATGAAGAAATTGTTGGAAGCATTTATTTTTGTTGTATTAAAGTTTAGGCTAAATTTGTGTATGATTAGATAGATATTGAAGGTTATGAAATGTGAATGAAAACATGTAAAGTGAGGCTTCACAAAGAATCTTATTTTCCATATTTCTAAAATTTTTCACTTTTTAAAATTAAATAGTTTTGGCCACTTAATATGATTTATACTGTTTTTTCCAAAGATGGAAAAGTATTCTTCCCTTGAAATACTGTTTATTGTCCACTTGTCTAAATCTATGTTATCATGTCCTAGTGCAAGAGACATTAAATTCTTTGTGAAACATCACTGTTTGATAAAGGATATACGTATTTAGCATCCTTGTTTTTCTTTGTGCTAAAGTGGATACAGCTGTTGGGGCAGAAGAGACGGGACCAGCTGCTGGCCACATTTCCTGCTTTATTTTAAAAGGTAGTATAAGAAATAAGGAAGAAGAGGTAATATCAGGGCTTCTGCTGTCTTTTATTTTTAAAATGTTCATTATTAAGTATTTTCCAGCAGTCCAAAGATGTAAGTTATCTTACACGTAAGATGTTTTCTTTTGTTATTTGTTTATGGAAATGGAATCTTGTTCTTGCACAACTAACTGTAACTGTTTTATTGCTAGATAATATGATTTGAGACTTAAATTAGTCTCTGGTTTTCAGTATATCACATTTTGTAAAGTTATCCACTGCACTTGAGCATGAATGGGTAGTAGCCAATCTCTTACAACTTGGAGTGATGGACCTGCTTCTTCAAGGGCAGGAACAAGCCCCCACAATGCAGCTGCATGGATTTTAGTGCCTACTGAATTATATATATATATATACATAGAGATAAACCAAAAGTAGTTGGAAAATTATTTGAAATGACTAATTTGTGCTCCTTCTGAAATATGTTAAATGTAGCTTTTGAAACAGAAGCCTTGAATTGAAATTTAATACTTGAACATTTTTGTATATATTTCTTTGTATATAATTTTGTGCAGTACCAATGACAAAAATATGGTGTCATAATAAAATCAGGTTTGTTGATCTTTCAGTTATGGGCTCAAAGAATTTATTCATCTTTAGCATGACATTGGGAAGTAGTGAATGAAAATAGGGAAATGATTCTTGGTAATACAGACTGTGATCTTAGTCAAAAGATTCTGGAAGCAGTAAGCTTGTTTTCCTAAGAATTACACCATTTCCGTGGACTGGTTTCTTAACATCTGCTTTTCCTGCATTCAAGTTGTGGGTTTGGGAGATCAGTTTCTGTTTTGAAATTCCAGTACAGACTGTAGAATGTCATTTTATAAATGGCAGCTTGGGGAATTAGAGCTCTTGATAGTGGCAAGATTAGAATGCCTGATTTTAGAGTTGCTTTGTTAGGGTCCACGTGTTTTAGTACCTGTCTTTTCTAGTTCCATTTCATTGTTTCTTTCCTAGTTTGGGCGACAATGGTTTTTGTCTTTTTTTTTGTTTTTGTTTTTGTTTTTTGCATCAACTCATAGTCATGTTTTTACTTGGTAACTGCATGTATTTAGGACTGACCAGGGGCTTTAAATAAATTTTATCATATTTATGTGTAAGCACATTTTTCTGTAAATGTTTGGGTTTCTCAATTTACAACAGTTGTTTAATTTCATTGTGTAGTAAACAGTATCTTAAAGTGTCCTGTTCACTACTTGTTAATTAAAAATTATGATTAATATAAAACTGTTGTCTTACTATTTTTAGAAATTGTGTTGTGAATAATTAGTATTTTGATAGAGAGTTCTGGAATATAAAATAGATTGAAATTTTCAGGTTCCGTTGTATTTAATGTGATGGTTGAGAACAAATTAGTATTTGGGGAACTATTTCGAGTTTGATTTCCGATTTGTACCTGTGTGGTAAAAATGGTAGAAGACCTAAAGATGTAGCTTTTTAATCCCTGTCTTCCTCTGGAGGTCAGTATTCATACATGAATTAACTAACACATATTGGCATAGTATTTCTATAATGGTAATTTAAGTTTTAACCTTTTTTAAGCAGGCTTAACTAAAAAGTACATGTTTGTTAAAAATGTAGTCAGACCTCTGATATATCCAACAAAGTATTCAAAATATTTTAAATATCTGTGCGTTTTATACTCGCTAAATTAATCTCTTTCTCTTCTCTTTAAACAGCTTAGCAGTATCTGCAAAAACGAATCTTTTCCTACAACCTGTTAACTGACTGGACTGATGGTAACAGTAATTGTGGGAGCCATGTCGGTCAAAAATTTGGCATCTGCTGCAAAACATGAATGCCATTTCCAAGTTCCCAAATTACTTCTATACTGATTACACTTTCCAGAAACGGAGATATGAAAAGATTCTCTGGAATGCTTGAGAGACTTAATAGAAATCCATGAGACTAAGTTAATTTTGGAACAGAATTACATCTTTTTGTCCTTTCATGGCAGTAACACGAAATTTATTGCATACTTTTAAAAAAATAATTGTAACCATTGGAGAAGAGAATTATAGTGTTTTATCAAGAAACATTAGATTTTTACAGTCAAGAACACACCCTGGAATTAGATTTAGTGGGTTAGAGTGACATAAATAGGCCAGCAGTGGTCACAGAACTTACCAGGAGTTTGTATTTCTGCAATGCGAGAAGCTGCTTTGGAAGACAGACACCTTGCTGAGTAGAATAAAGTCTTCAACTTAAAGAGTAGTGTTTTAAACTAGATGCTTTGATTGTGTATTTTTAAAAGTGACTCTTTTAATGTGTGGGTGGTATTGCCATTTAGGTATTGCCATGAGCTTGTGTGCAATCTCAGGTTTGGCGTTTTGGACATTGAGTACTTGATCCTGTTTGAATGTGTTGAGGTGTCTGATGAATGACATAGTTTCTACTGTTCTGTTAAAATTTCTGTAGTGTTCGTTCTGTAAGAAGGATCTTCATATTTTGGATGATAATGGCTTATTTCATATTACAAGTAAAAAACCCATTCAGAACCCAATCATTTTTTTTCATTATTGTTGAATTATGCTAATACATTTTCATCTGTTTTAGACGAAATCATTTTATTTTTGGCTCACGTGGGAAATATTGCAGATAGAAGAGGGAGTTGATGGGAAGTAGTGTTATTACACTATAACCATGATATTCAAGATCCATTCAGGGCCTCTCCTTGTCTTCACCTGTGTGTTCAGTGTCCGTAAAGCCAAAAAGTAAAGGGAATTCCTACAGGCTTCTATTTAAAGAAGCCGATGCTCCTATAGCTGAAGGTTTGGGTACTGTTACTTTGGTGTCAAGATGCAGTGTGGAGAATTCACTAGAAATGCGTATCTTAAGAATACAAAGTTATATGGTTGAGGGATTTTGAAGGTAGAGATCAAGTGCTCACAGATGCAGTCAGTTTTTTCAAATAAATTATTCTTCAAAGTTGAATAAGTAATATTTGTGTTTTCCCCCCTCTTTGTATATGTTGATTCTAAGTTTTAAGACCTACCTTTATATATTTTTATTGTGTCCTGGGTTCTCCCCAACTCCATCTATATATTAGAAATTAAAAAAGGCCTTTCATTATGGACATGACAGAATTTTTCATATATTTGAATTTATATATCATTATGTATGGGTTCAGTATTTAACCAGTTAACCTGTTTTACAATACTCCATATAATTTATGTTGATTGAAACTGAAAATATTTTATGTTACGAACTAATTTATAGATCTAGTCACAAATATATTTGGAGCATTGTATAATTTTGTCAGTGTAAAAAATTAATTTTACTATAGCTCAAACATGTTTATAAATTTTTATTATCCTGCTGGGGTCAAATTTCTAGACCCTTCTGGCTCTTAACTGAGTTTGGATTTTAATATGTGTATACAAACACATATGTAGACACATATATTTTACATACAATAAATAAGAATATTCTTTAAAACCATGTACCTGGACAGAGCAGATTGTAAAATTCTAAATATTTTTAATGGTTTGTTAACTTTAATTGGACTGAAATCTTTTTTTTTTTTTTGGACTGAAATCTTAATCGTTTTCTTCTGAGGTCTGAGCTAGGAAGGGCTCAGTTCCCCTAGGTTTAATGTTCTTCACAGTTCCTGTCATATCTCTGCCTTCTTAACAGGGTTTTTGTAGACTTGTAGCAGTAGAGTAAGCATTTACTGCTTAGTTGCCCATTTCTACTAGTTTAAAAAGAGGATTTGACTATGTAGCAGAGGGAAGAGTTCAGGATCCTTTTGTGATAGAAACATTTAAACACATGTATAGTTAGAGTGTTAGGAGTTCAGTCCTGGGACCATTTCAAGCACAGTAAACAGTTTGTATTTACCAAGTAACATGGTTGCATCACTGAATTTTCGGTTACTTTAGTTGATTATACCATCTGTATACCTAAGGAATCTAATTTAGCAATTATATTTAAGGGTTGTGTTTTTACTTTGATCAATTGAATTACTCATTAAAAGAGAATGTAGGCAGACAGTTTTGTATCTCAAAGCCTTTACTTTTGCTAATATTTCTTGTAAAAATAGGCAATTGTGTACAAAATATATTTTGTCTTCGCAGTTCTAAAAGTTAAGCATATTTAAACTTGGGAAGCAAGAAAAATCATACGACTGACCCAAGGGAAGATACAGTAAACTTTTTTCCTTCCCTCATAATTATTATACTTAAAAAAAAAAAAAGGTCTATTTCATGTGCTCTTTGAAGGAACAAATCTTGCATTCCTTAAACTGTGCTAAATTTCACTTATAATTTAATAGCAGCCTTGTTTCGTTATTGATGGAGACAAGGTGTTGCGGTGTTTGTAGGTCAAGCTCTTCTCAAACTTGGCACAGTGGCCCTGCCTTTTCCTCCCAGTTGCTAGGCATGCCTGGGTAGTTTGCTTTACACAGAACCCTATTTCACATGCAAAACTGCCTTTTCAAAATTAACAAGTCACAGTATCTAGAAGGAATAGTTAAGATATACTTATGAACGAAACCATACTTAGTATGGTTTTAGAGATGGTTACACTCTTCCGTGGTGACTAGCTGCTTCATGGAGTATTGATCTAGTGTACATTACTGAGACTGTCCACAGCTCATGATTGCTAGTGGCTCATATTAACAGCATAGGTATTTATCATTACAGAAATTAGACAGTGTACATTCGATGATGCCATAGTAGTCGTTTCAACGAGGAGGCTACAAAGCCCTTGGGAAGAAGACAGATGACTCCAGAAACATACATGATCTAAGGAAATGACTTCACGAGCATACTTCAAAAAGTAAAGATGGGGACGGTTGGTTGTGAGCGAGGTTACTCAGGAAGGTAGTGAATTATAGGCTAACATGCTCTGCACCATACATGGGGGAGAAAAAGCTCAAGCCTGAGAGTCTAAAGAACTTAAAAAGGTGACTTTCTAAACCCTGTAGCTCCCAAGACATAGGCTGGGATTGATCCTTTGAGTAAGATGAGTTGTACTCATGGAAACAGCCTGAATAGAGAATAATAAGACGTAAGTAACATGCTGTATTTATAAGTCAAAACAAAAACCATAAACAACCTTTTTCTTCCCGTTTGGCTTTGTGAGGGCTTTGTTCATAATTGCTATGTTGTTATTTCTCTTCTTGGCTGTAGACCAAACTAAATGTAAAGGAGTGGTACTGGCAGTGGTGAAGAAACAGTATTGGGCAAACTAGAGAGATTATGTTCTTTTAAATTTGTTTTTTGAGCTAGGAATTAAACCTAGGTTCTCTTGCATGCCAAAACAACCATTCTGCCACTAACTTACATTCCCAGCCTCAAAACTATGCCTCTAGTTTTTATTGGGTTCTAACTTGTGTTGCTCTGCAGTCTTTCTTTGCAGGTCAGAGTTGTATCTTGTAAAAAATTACAAGTCTGTATTTTTAGTATAAGAAACAGATTGTTTTATTTTTGTTGTACATATTTGCTTCAAGTCAATGAATTTCTGAGCCAGGTTCAGGTAGCTGAAGGGCCTTTATGAGGAGATTATATTGTTTGCCCCCAAGGTATGCTGCAAACACAGTCTGAAGTATAATGGGAAATACCATCTTTCTACAGACAGGCTTAGAAACTGTAATCCAGTAATTTAAGAAGTTTCCTTTCTGTGGCAGAGGGCTTGATTCATACCTGTAAGAAAACATATTGATCATCAGACATGTACGTCTTAATAAGTCTTAAAGTAATCTTAAGGACAATGGGAGTCTTCCTTTTTTATTGGTATATATCCACTGTTGGCAGCAATGGTTTTCATAGTCGTTTTCATTAATCCCTTCTCTTCAGTCTTAAAAATGATTCTGGTTTCTTGTGCCTCTTTAGTTCCCCTCTGGAGGTGCACAGAACAGACAGCTCCAAGAGTTCAGAGAATAACGAGTGATTTTGGTGTGGAAGGCTTACAGGTAGCAGTTTGCGACTCCTGAGAAGGGAAACACTGCCTCTGGTCTAAATTACTCAACACAATATATTTTTGGTTCTGAGTTCCTTAGGTGGTCATGTAAATAAAAGTTTTTAAAGTAGAAACCATCCTACCTGGCAGCAAGGCCTCCGTTCACAGGTATAGCGAAAAGGATAGGGTATACACCACCCATACCAAAACCTATCAGTGCGCCCCGGGTCATGGCACAGGTCTCACAGTTCAAGTCACCTGGGAGAGAAATTAGCAAAGTGATGCTCAGGATGTTTAAGCAAACGTGACTTAAAGAACCAAGGGTTTGCATTCTATTTTCATTGACACAGCAAAAGATCTTGCAAGTCATGCTTAAAGGTTAGAATGTAGCTCTGGTATGAGGACATGCTTAGCATGTTTAAGGCGTTGGGTGGGAAATACTGATAAGCAGGAAAATAGCTCGATTCCATCTGGATTCTTAGAAATTTGAATCAGTATTAACAGAAAATAAAACATAAAAATGCCTTCCTTGGCCCCTATGATGGTATTTTTTTTCATTCAGAACAATCCCATACACACATGGAATACTCAGGGTACATGGCAGTTTTAAGGAAGTTTTTTTTTTTCTGCTAAATACACACAGTGCTTCAAGAGATGACAGTTGTATTCCCACAACATACTTTCCTTGAGAGAACTTCATACAATGTGGAAATGAGCTGCTTCAGATCAGGGAACTATGACCATTGTACAAATACTCTGCTTGGTTGGCAGAATCAGTTGTGTAACAAGACAGCAAGATTCAGCCTTCCCTGAGGACTGCATTATAGCCTACAGCTGTTCAGGATTAATATTTTGGTACTAGGATAGGTGTACTAAGGCAAACGAGGGATAACAAATAAAGCATACCTGAACTCAAAGGTAAACTCACAAAACCTGTGAAAGTCATGCTCGCTGTCATAAATGGCATCAAGGCCATTGGTAAGCCAGAAGCCAGCCGAGCTTGTGTCACATGCAGGATGCGCCGGAAAAGACTGTTTGCTATCAGGCCACTGAAGGCAGCATTAAGTCCGACATATGTGGATCCATGTTGAAGCAGATACCTGAGGGCGAGGAAAAAAAACCTGTTTCCACAATTTGGTTAAGTTCTTCAATTTTGATATGTTACAGAACTTACTAGCATATTGGAGAGAATTAGACCCTTACAGGGTCATAAAAACAAAATTAAATTAACAGCTTCACACCTACATTTCTAGTCTAAAAAGGCTTTTGAATTTGGGCAGTGTATAAGGATGCTACATGCATTTTGTGATTTTAATGAAGAGCCTTGCCAGAATTATGTAAGAGGGAGCAGCTCTGAAGTGGGAGATGCCTGGCTCTTTTGAGTTCACATACTTAAGAATACAACACATTCTAAGGCGTTACTACTGACTTATACCCCTTGTGTCTATAAAGAACTTGCTTATACACACAGATACATATTCAGCGTTGTTTCCTTAAGTGATAATATTATCCAGATTAGGAAATTGAGGTAACTAACATTTAAGTGAAACATTATGCTAGGTAGTTTATAATAGTTCAGTGATGAACATTTTATTGGTAATTTGAGATAAGTAGAAACATGTTTAATTTTGGGGAGAAATACCTAAAAGCACCAGTACAACTAAAATAAGCTCTTGAGTTACAGTCTGCTTTCCAGCATTTGTGCTGTGATCTGCAGTGTGGCTCCCTGGTGGATGTTTCTCATTTCTCCACCCATCAGAGTAACCCTAAAGGTGCCTCCCCTAGGTCCTGGAGTTTGTGCTTATTTTAAAAGCTTTTCTAGGACATGATACTGAGCATTCGTGTGTGAGATGCTTTCCTGACCTCTCACTTGGCATTCACATGCCTGCCATTTCATTCACTGAGCACTAGTTCCTAAAGGTGGCTTGTTGCTACAGAAACAAGAAGAGCTGCATTCTACCGTAGAGATTCTCCTAGTTGGCTGCATGGGAAGAGAATGAATTGATGTTTTCACAGCTCTAGAAATGGCTCAGGAAATTCTAGACAGCTACAGCCCCAATGTGAGAAGCCTGTTTTTTGTAGGGGTTAAAGAAACGGAACTTGTACACTTTTGCAAATATATAAAAGTCACAAAATGGGAGTCATCTCTATTTAACTGTAGGAACCAATGCTTGAAACAGTGGTGCTGAAACCTGCAAAGAACCACTTTCTTGTCTCGCAACTAATCCGTAGTTTGCTGTGGCTTTAAAATGAAACATTTTTATCGCTTCCAAGCTAAATCTTAACCTTACAATACCAGCTCAATTTCCATTGCCCTTTTTTAATTTGTTGGAGCGCTGGTAACCCGGTTTCTTCCTTTGTTTCTGTCGTCATCATCTCAGTTCCTTAGAACAGTCGTTCAGGCTTTCCCTACCTTGTGTAGGTTTTCTGTTTACCTCAAGAAACAGCACCAGGAAAGAAGTAAATGGGGTGTCTGTGTAGGGGTAGTGGTAAGGGGCACAAGTTGCTGAAATTGATCAAGTTCTCAACTACTGCTCAGTACATAGGTTAGGTTCTCTGCTCTAAGACGGTAAGTGCCAGCAAAAGGTGGAATTGTGGTTTCCACACTGGAAGACGCAGTAATCTCCAAGTAATATTTTACGTCTCAGCTCCCCCGTGATGTCTCTACTCACTAGAGTAACTTAACTATTCTGGTTCTTTTCTCTGGTGCCAATCGCCTACCTTAAATCTATTCCCCAAACTGGCTGGAATAGACAATAATGTTAGTGGAATCAAATTTTTCCTGCTTAAAACCCAGCGACATCTTTCTTACAGAGACATTTTAATACTAAGGGATCTTACCTTTCTGATTCCGGAAGCTGTTTAATTTTTCTGGATATGATATTAAATATTAGATCGTCTTTGATAGCACTTTG